GCCAGAATTAGCAAATGAAAATACAGAACACCCAACTAAATTTGATAGCAAAATGATTTTTTTTTAAAAAAAAATAAACCTTTCTCCTTGGGTGGTGCATGGTTATAATCTCAGCACTTGTGACAGAGGCAGGAGAGCCAGGAGTTTAAGGCCAGCCTCAACTACATAGTAAGTTCAAGGCTAGCCTGGGCTACATTCAAGCTTCCCTCAAAAGAAAGCAAAAATAAATGAAATTTTCTGCTGAGATTAGTGCTTTAGTGGTAGAATTTGAGCTTAATATACACAGGGCTCTAGGTTTTGTCTACAGCCTGTGTACACACAGACACACACACACACACCACTCCTTTGTGTAAGTGTATTCCGTGAAATACACATAATAAAGACACATACTGAAAAAGTTATCCATTTATCTGAAAAATTCAAAATCAATGAGTCATTCTCTGTTTAACCAGAGGAGAGCTGAGGTGCCTGCCATTCTATTCAGTCCAAAAGCCTAGGGTAGTGTTTCTCCTCATGCGGCCGGCCCTACCCTTCTTTTGCCCTGCAGAAGAAGCCAGTGTGAGCTGTGGCCTCCCTACTCAAGTTGGCAGCTGGTTCCCTTCTCCTTTCTGTCTGGTGTCCCGGCAGAGCAGGTTGGTGTGGTGTGAAGTGGCCAGAATATGGCTGAAGGAGAACAAAATAGTTGGTCCCTTTTTGGGAAATGGGGCCATTGGGCCAGGCCTAGGAGGCCCAGTCTGAGTGGGAAGGACAAAGAGGTCAGAGCTGCATAGTGGACATTGGTCCAGCACCTTTCAGCTCTTGGCCCAAGGGGTCCTTTCGCAACTTGCCACGAAGACAGAGTGGCCAGTTTAATGGGGGCTTTCCACCAAGCCCTGAAATGGGCCTTCTGAGGGACACCCAGACCTACCTGAGTAGGATGAGGACAGGTCTTCCAAGGTGACAAAGACTAGTCCCATAGTGAATGTAAAAAGATAGATTTAGAGCTCTTGGGAGTCACTGGGGACCCCTGGGGCACACTGGACCTAGGGCCCAGTAGAACGCTGGGGTTTACCTTGACCTTGAGACTCTGGAGATGGGTTCCTGTGGTTTACGTAAGAGAGCCTGAGCTGGGGAAGAACTTTGGAGCTATAGTCCCACATCTGGGGCTTCCTTGCACCCTTTTATCGCAGAAGCTCAATTCTGGTAGACGGGAGGAAAGCTCGTTTTCGGGGGCCATGGAGGCAAGGGGATTCCGGCTCCATGCTGAGCAGTGTTGTGGCTAAGTTGAGGTGCAGCTTGGTGGTCAGTGTGAATGTCTCCCGGATGGTGAGAGGTGGGAGCTGGGAGGGAGCCAATGTGTGTCATCTGGAGCAAGCTATGCCTTCCAGGGGCATGTGGGCCCCAGATCATGTTTCGAGAGTAGCCAAAAATCTGAATTTTTATGGCTCCCTCTTTCTTTCATTCTTTTTCTGCTTTGGTAATTGAGTCAACCTCCCCATCCCCAGACCGGGTTTCTCTGTACCTTTGGAGCCTGTCCTGGAACTAGTTCTTGTAGACCAGGCTGGCCCTGAACTCACAGAGATTCGCCTGCCTCTGCCTCCCGAGTGCTGGGATTAAAGGTGTGCGCCACCACTGGCTTTGAGTCCACTTTTGAAAAGTGCTGTGGAGGTCAAACAGGACATGCCTGTTGGCCATTCACTTGCTGCTCTTGCTGTAAAGTAATGGGAACTGTCCCCATGGGAGCAGCCAGCTGTGTGGTCCCCCAATGATGGGCCTGGGGTGCTTGTTGATCTCAGCTGCTCCCCTGAGACAGTGCTTTTGTGAAGCTCTGTCTGGTTTCCTGGAAGACCAAAGGCCAAGTCCCAGGTCAAAGGTCAATCCCAAGGTCAGATTCTACTTTTTTTTTATTTTTTTGTACACCAAGTTTGCTCTGTGTAGCCCTGGCTGTCCTGGAACTCTATCTGTAGACCAGACTGGCCTCAAACTCACAGAGATCTGCCTGCCTCTGCCTCCCAAGTTCTGGGATTGGTTAAAAAAATTCTTTTATTTTATTTTATTATTTTATTTATTTGTATCTGTGCTTGCACACAAGAGTGGGGAGCACTCACATATCCACGATGCACTTGTGGAGGTCAGAGGACAGCCTGTGGGAGTAGGTCCTCTCCTTCCACCGTGTCAGCTTTGAGGACCTAACTATCACCAGCCCCTACTATTTTCATCATTACTTATTGTTATGATTGGTCTCACTGTGTAGCTTAGAGCCCCCTGGGACCTAGAGTCATCAGACCTCAGCCTCCCAAGAGCTGGGATCTCAGGCGGCTAGAACTGTACACCATCACACCCAGCTCCCAAGGTCAGGTCTCTGATGCCTGCCTGCCTCTGTCCCAAAGCGCCCTCAGTGTCCTCACCTCGTCTAGTGCTGCAGACTGTTTTCTATCTCTGGGGTGACCTGGGTAGACCGGTGACGAGGTCACCAGCTGGGGAAGAAGGAACCGGTGTGCAGCCGGTGACCTGTAACATAGCCGGATAACTTCAGAGATTCACCCTGGTTCCTGTCATCTTGGGAGGCCCAGAGCTCAGGCGTGCTTTTCAATCTGAGCCATGGCTTTTGAGTTAATTACGTAAGTAATAAAATAATAATAATAATAATACACTCCAACTTTGAATTGCTTGATTTACTAAGGCTCAGTCCAAGGAAGCTGGTCAAGGGTTTGTGAGCGCTGACTTTGGCCTTTTGATTCTAGAAGCTTCATCCCCAAGTGGTCTCTAGGGTAGACCAGGCAGCAGAACAGCAGAAGGTAGACTCTGGCGTCACAACTCTATTCGCTCTTTGTTCTCCCAGTATGGTCTCTGTGACCATGGCCGTGGTAAAAGTTGCTGGGCTGCTTGTTTCCCTCCTCCGCGAGACCTGTTCCTACCTTTCTGTGATCTGAGAAGGGGGGGGGTCCTAGAGCTTGGCCTCTCTGCTTGTCACCCACCTTGATCCTGGGAGCGGCCCTGTCCCTCCAGGTACCTTCTGGGTATTGCGAGTGGAGAGTGAAAGATGGGGCCTGTGGCTTGTGCGCTCTGCCCCCAGGAGGCAGGAGAGGGGTGGCAGGTAGGCATCTGTCTTCACTTCGTGTTTTCCCTGCTCCAAGGAGCACGGGCAGGGCCTGGCAGTGGTGCCAAGGGCCCCACTTCCTTCATCTGTCAAGTGGGAAGGTGATTCCTGCCGCCAAACATGTCCTTGTGAACATCAGTGTGTGGATGCCGTGTTTAGCACACAGAAGGTACCAGAAATGGTCTCCTCTAATGTACAGGCCAGGCCGTAGCTGACAGGGACTTGGAGACCTGGATAGGCAGGGTTTGTGGATGAAGGTATGTGGTTTGGTTAACACACATACATGTGCGCGCGCACACGCATGCACACTGCTGCCTGAAGCCTCAGTAGTGACGTGGCAGAGACTGTAGTGTGTCATGGTAGCCTACAAGGGAAGACATAGGTAAAGTTTGGGTGGAAAAGCCAAAGTCTTCACACTGCCTAAGTAACAGTGGGACTTTTGCAGCCATTCCTTTGTCTGACCCTGATCTCTCATCTCATTGTGGGTCCCTCAAATCAGCTGGCTTCCTTTCTGAACACAATGAAACTTTAGGCTGTCTCCCTGAGATGACCAAACCGGAGTCCAGACAGTTGGTGACTCTCCCCAAGTTGTGCCTGTCCCTGCCCAGGTACGTGGCCTCTGAATAGTTAGAGCAAGAAGTGACACCGTCTGACAGTAATAGTCCAGCAAATGGCAGTGGCTTGGAGAGGGCATAGTTATTATCCTCGATGAAACCTGTCGCCCCTTTCCCTTCTCACGGCCTGTAATTGTCTCCTTCCTATCTGTACACCTGTGTCTCTCTCAGCTGGGCACTTGGATCCTGTCCTGTGAAAAGTTAGAACCCAGGTGACCAGGGGTCCCTGGTCCATGTGGAGCCTCACCTGAAGGACAGGTGCAAGGATTTGTCCCCACAAGGCCAGGCTCAGCCTGCCTCTCAAAGCCCCTCCCCCATACCCCTAAGCTGTTGTGAAGGGAAGCCGATAGGAGGACTGGGCCATTGCTTGCTGTCTCCCTCCTGAGAGTGTAGGCTAAGTGAGGTTTCCTAAAGCCTAGGGCCCCAGCCACCTAGGGCGGAACTGGGATTCCAGCCATATCTCTGTGCGATCAAAGCTTGTTATCTTAGCCCCTGGGCTACACAGACGTCTCTTTGTAGCTGTGACCTCTGCCACCTTCCACCCACAAGCCGAGTCTGCTCCAAAGCCCCCTGGTTACGGGCTCTTCCTCATTCCCTGCAGGGAGAAGAAATGGGTGACGGTTGGCGACACGTCCCTGCGAATCTACAAGTGGGTTCCTGTGGCGGAGCCAAAAGTCGATGACGTGAGTACATAGGCTGTCCTGTCTCGTTCCCTACCCAGGGTGGCCTCCTCTGCAGGGAGAGAGACTGTCTGTCTCTAGCCACTGGCCTGGGGGCCTGAAGCCAAACTGCTTGGAAGACACAGAGCCCAGCCTAGGCCTAGAGAGCCCCCTGGACCTGTGTCATCAGCCCCTACAGCCCCAGATTAGAATACATACGGTAGGGCACAGGGAATGTCCTCTGTGCTGAGTGTCAGTGAAGCCACACTTTTATTTGGGGGTGCTCCCCCTAGGACCCTCTGCACTATGTGTAGGAGCAGGCAGTGTGGTACCCAGCTATACCAAGCCTCTGCCTTCACTGTGACCCCATCCTGAACGCCATCCATCTGCCAGGCTCCATGCTCACGCTTCATGCCGTCATCTCTCACTTGCTGTCTTTTCAGATCTCTTCACATGATCTCTAAGAGGCACAGCCACGTCCCCAGAGTTACACAGTTAGGTCAAAACGGAGACGCAAAACTCAAGTCTCTCCGATTTTGACGCGTGTGTGTTCTCTGTTCCTCAGGTGCCTTCTAACGGTTGGGGCTGTTGGTGGACCAAGAGTGAGAGAGCCTGGTATAGGGATGCTTGCCTGCACCACCCCCTAGAAGGGCTACAGGCAGGTTAAGCAAGGCAGATGGGCTGGTGCTGACCGTGGTGACCATGCTGGGTCCTGGAGAAGGATGCTTGCAGGCAGCCAACCCACTTCCCACCAAACGGCCTTTGTACTACCGGCCCTCTCCATGCCCGCTCCTGCCCAGGATACCCACACTTAATGCCCACCTCTGAGAAGATGAGAGTGTGGCCCCACCCCAGCTGCTTCTGGGAGCAATATGGCCGTGGTTGATGAGTTTTGTTATGGGCCAGCAGCTACCTCAGTAAAGATGAAGGCTAAGCTTCCCTCACAAGGGGCTTGCCTCTCTGACCCATCTTCAGTAACCTGCCTCTTGAGTGTGGGGACTCTTGTCACGGCTGAGATCACATGCTCACGGGGACTCAGGGGTCCCCCTTGGCCTGGGAACTTAGGTGACTGGCAACCCTTCTCATTTTGACCTGGGTTTCTGAAGCCACCAAGGTCCCTCTTACTATAAAGGGACCAAGGCTTGACCTGTCCTTGTGTAACTGGACAAAGAGCAGGTTAGCCCTAGTCCTCGGATGCAGTTCCTGCCTCCAGCCCATCATTAGGTGGTGGAGAAATGATGGCTGTATCCGAGGAGATGTGGTCCCTGCTCTCAAGGAATTTCTAATCTCGCGAAGGGAAGATAATTATAGAATAGCATGAAGCAGTCACCAGGGAAGTGCCAAGTGGAATATGATCAAGGGGGCCGTGGGAAGGATGGGACAGCTCCCAGCTGGGCAAAGAACACTGGATATAGATAGACAGACAGACAAGCCCTGGCTGACCTGTGAGGCTGGGTGCATCACCTCACCGGGGCCCTCCGCCCTCTTCCTTGTGTAGTAGAGGAGCTGTGCCAAGCTTGTGGTTTCTGTACCCAGAATGTGCACTGTATCGCCTGGAGAATACTTAGCATAGGGTTCCTGAAATGCTGAGGCCCTTTCACCTCTGGGCCGTACAAGAGTGTGCTGCCTAACCCTCTTCTAGGGCTGAGCAATTGGGTGAGGCACAGAATCCTGGGCCCCACCCCGTACAGCTCTCTGAAGGTTAGACCAGGAAACCGCATGGGGGTGGGGGAAGGGTCAACTTTATGGTTTTAGAATACTCAATTAGGAGCTGGGCAGTGGTGGCGCACGCCTTTAATCCCAGCACTTGGGAGGCAGAGGCGGGCAGATCTCTGTGAGTTCAGAGCCAGCCTGGTCTACAGAGCAAGTTTCTGGACAGCCAGTCTCAAAAAACCAAAATAGAAAAGAAAAATAAAAAAATAAAAATAATCAATTAGGACTTGGTTATACCATCTTTATCTATATAAACGGGGTTTTGGAAGTTTTCATTTTCTAATAAGAAAAACAGGTGTCAAAATTCAAATGTTATTTTCTTCTTTTTATTTGGTTTGTGTGTGTGTGCATTCATTCGTGTACCATGGCACATGAGTGACGTTAGGACAACTTGAGGGGATCAGTTCTCTCTACCATGTCCCAGGGATGCAGCTTAGGTCCTGGGGCTTGGCAGAAAGTGCCCGTACTGCTGAGCCATCTCTCCAACTCCTGTTATAAATTCTAGCTGAGGAATTTGAACGGCTATGGCCCTGCTAACTCTGAAGTATACATTTTGGCTTTCATTGTTTCATCCTAATATATATTTCTTTTCTTTTTTCTTTTTCTTTTTTTTTTTTTTGAGACAAGGTCTTGCTTTACAGCCCACACTGGTCTTGAATTCTCTCCTCCTGCCTCTGTCATGCAAGGATTACAGGCTGAAATGCATTCTTTGGAAGAGTGAATTTTGCTTTGGGGGTATAGCTCCATGGTAGAATGTTTGCCTAACGTGCATGAGGCTCTGTGTTTCTTCATACCACAGGATGCTGGGATCAGAAGTGTCTACAATGACTCAGTAGTAAAGACACTTGCCACCACGCCTGATAACCTGAGTTTGATCCCTGGAACTCACATGGTACAATGAGAGATCCAATTCCTGAAAGTTTCCTCTGGCCTTCACATATGCACTATGCAACGCCCACACACATACATACACACTCCACACATACATCATGTTAAATAGATATAATGTAAAAGTTAATAATTCTATAACATTTTCATCAGTACCTGTTAGCAGTTACTCCCCATGCCACCAGTAATCATATATATGTTCTGCCTCTGTTCATTTGTACTTTAAATGTTACTTTAAAAGAAAGTTACTTATTTTTTATGTGCATGAATATTTTGTCTGCGTGTGTATGTGCACCCCATGCATGCAGTTCCTGCAGAGACCAGAAGAGGGCATTGGATCCCCTGGAACAAGAGTTACAGATGGTTGTGAGAACTAAACCTGGGTCCTCTATAGAAGCAGCCAGTGTCCTTAACAGCTGGGCCATCGCGTCAGCCCTTTTTAAATATTAATTTTGCAGCATATCTCTTCCTGAGTCTGCCTTTTGCCCTGCCTGCACACATCCTCTCTTGAGTTTACATCCCTGTTGGCACCTGTGCACCCACTTTGTATTTATCCTTCCAGAAGCACACATAGATACAGTCCGCTCGGCTGTATGCACCCTAACAATGCTGGCAGAAGCACACGTAGATAGAGTCCCCTCAGCACACCCCAACAGTGCTGGCAGCTGCTTGCTCTGCTCCTTTTTGTCTAGGGGATATTGAGGTATCTTAACATATTCGTGCCTCACAGATCTTTCTGATTAAAATCCAAAGAAAGCTGCCTTGTCTCTGTATTGTTACACTGATTGATCAGAATGTCCATGATTTGTTTTAGGAGTGTTTTACCATCACTATGGTAAAAACCTAAATGATTCTGTTCCCTTGAGAGCCTTAGGTGTGGCACACCTTCTGAGTACTTATCTAGAACATGTGGGGACCGGGTTTGATTCCCAGCATCCCCAAAGCATCCCTCTCCATTTCCCACTGCCTCTTTGAGTTTTCCATCCTTCCCAACACTTTGAGAATGGCAACCCCAGGGGCTCAAGACGCCAGCATGATGGTGACCATGACCATTCCCATAGTTTCTCCCTCTAGGTGAAATTTCCACTAGGCACAGTGTTTGCCTGTCTGCAGGTGACAGCCCCCGCAGACAGGTGAGATTATCATTCAGAATCCCCTGGGTGAGACTCTTTGATTCCAAGGTGGGCACAGAACACCTTGTGGGCCACATTCAAATGCAGGCAAAGGCAACCTGCCAGGGCTTGGGGGCTCTAACTGCTTGATGGAATTAAATATTCATGCCACTCCCTGGGGCCGCTTGCGTGCACACACACGGACATGATTGACTGACTGGGTCTCTGCTCCATTTTTCTCCTCTAGAAAAACAAGAATAAAAAGAAAGGCAAGGATGAGAAGTGTGGCTCAGAGGTGACCACTCCAGAGAACAGCTCGTCACCAGGGATGATGGACATGCACGGTGAGTCTTGCCACAGCCGGTCTCCCTGTCTGGGCCTCGTGAAGCCCTAGTTGTGTTTTTGTTTCTCTAGCAGGTTTGTTCACATTCCAGGCAAAGGGTAGGAGGGCTGAGCAAGACTGCCAGGCCTCTGTGCCAAGGAGGAGCTCTTCGGAGGAGCCATTTCTTTCCCTGGCATACCTAGCCAAGAAACAAAACAGAAGCATGGAAATCACACCGTCTCCTCACCCAAGGGGCACAGTCTCACAGATATCCCAGCAGCCCTGCCCAACCAGGAAGACTTGGGGGTGTGACATGCCAGACCCACAACTGTATTTCCCATTCTCCATTTTTGCTTTGCTCTTGGGACACTCCAGAATGGGTTTTTGAGTAGTTCGTGGTCACCAGGAACCTGGGCACTGCCCTCTCTTAACAGCCTAACTTCCTTGGCTGTCTGATTTTTGAAGTTATAATGTATGTCTGTTCCATCCATCATGGTAAGGCTGAGACCGTGATGTAGCCATGATGAGTCCTGTTTTCACCCTGTCTGTCTGTCTGTCTCTCTCGCCGTATTGAGAGGAAAGGCTCAAATCACAGTCCTATGGCTTCGTGAAATGTTCATAAAATGCACACACCTTTCAGCCAAGCCAAAGCACAGGATGTGCACAGCCTGACCTGACGGACTCTCTCCCCTCTTGGCCGCCCATAGACATTCAAACCTGAGTTTTCCGTCACTGTGGCACAATGCTTGAGATGATGCAGTTTGGAAGGGGAAGGGTTTATCCGGGCCTATGGCATCAGAGGGCTCAGTCCATACAGTCAATGCCATTGTCTGGGGGTAGCTGGTGGGCTAGCACATCTTGATGGAAGCAGCGAATTAGAGAAAGCTGCTGGCCCAAGAGGAAGAGGAACAGGCATCCTTGGAGATGCATGCCTGTAATCCCAGTCCTCGGGAGGTAGAGACGGGAAGACCACTACAAGTCTGGGACAACCTGGGCTAAAGAGTGAATTCTAGGCTAGCCTGGACTATGGCGTGAAACTGTATCTTAAAACTAAGGGGGCCAAGGGGACCCCTTCAGTGGCCAAAAGATCTCCCCCAGGCCCCACCTCTTAAAGTTTCTACTGCCTCCCAACTAAGCCAAGCTGAGGATTTAGCCTTTAGCACATGGGCCTTTGGGAACATTTAAGATTCAAACTATAGCAGCTTTTGATATTTATAAATCAGATAGCCTGCTTTACTGTTGTTTGAGAAGTCAGGTGTTGTTGTGCTAAAAGCAGCTGGCTATGGCAGAAACAGCTGTCATCCCTTAGGGGATGTGGACGCTCTAGCCTGCCTGGACAGCCCCAGGCTGGCCCCGCCTGCCCTACTGCAGTTTACAGGTGCTTACCACCCCCTCCCCCTCCTTTCTTCTCTCCTCTCCTCCCCTCCCCTCCCTCTTCTTTCTGTTCTCCTTAGCTTGTTTACTTGTTTTGTTTTGTCTTGTTTTTTTAAAGAACAGCGTCTCACTGTTTTAGCCCAGACTGGCCCAGAACTCATTATGTAGAGTAGGCTGGCTTGAAATTCACACATCTTACCACCTCTGCCTCCCGACTATTGGGATTTAAACCATGTGCCACCACACCTGGGTACATTTATTATATGTGTGCATGCCATAGCACACATGTGGAAATCAGAGGATAACCTGTGGGGGTCATATCATCTCTCCCTCCACCATGTGGGTCCCAAGGACTAATGGTGGCAAGCGCCTTTATCTACTGAGCCATTTTGCCAACCCTGTATTGTGAATTGTTTTGTTATTTGTTTTGGAGACAGTGTTTCACTGTATATATAGCCCAGGCTGGTCTAAAATTTATTATGTAGCTCAGGCTGTCCTCGGACTTGTAGTAATCTTCTTGTCTCTGCCTCCCAGGTGCTGGATATGCATCCAGCTTTTGATCTTAATTTTAATGTTTTTACTTTTGAAGTTTTTTATTGCATTTATTTATTTTGTGTGTGAGTTGGGGAGACACGCAAACTATTGTGTCAGAGGACGGTTCTCTCCTTCTGCCAAGTAGGTTCCAGGAATCAAACTCAGGTCATCAAGCCTGGTGACCAGCACCTTTACCCACTGAGCCATCTTAATGGCCCCTGCATGTATGTGTACTGTTGGCCACTCCAAACCTTTTGTCGGAGATGGCATCCAGTAGATCAACTGAAGTCAAAAGGGAGTGGTGGCACAGTTAAGTCTCGGGTGCCCTCAGACGCCTCTGGCCTCAGCCTGAGAAGGCAGAGGCAGTAAGTACACTTGTGTCTGAGCCAGGGTTACTATTGCTATGCTAAACACATGACCAAAAGCAAGTTGGGGAGGACAGGGTTTATTCAGTTTACATTTCCATATTGCTGTTTATCGTTGAAGGAAATCAGGGCAGGAACCTGGAAGCAGGAGCTGATGCAGAGCCATGGAGGAGTACTGCTTACTGCCTTGCTCCTCCTGGTTTGCTTAGCCTACTTATAGAACCCAGAACCACCAGCTCAGGGGTGGCACCATCCACCGTGGGCTGGGTCCTCCCACATCAGTCACTAATTAAGAAAATGTTTTACAGGCTTCCAAACTTGTGGGGACACTTTCTCAATTGGGGTTCCCTTCCCTCAAAAGACTCTAACCTATGTCAAGTTGGCATAAAATTATCCATCACACCTCATTTACACAAACTAGTCATTCTGGATTCCCAGTCCCTGCCGCCTAATCAAGGAGACTTGTGTCTTAGTGGCTTGGTTTCATAAAAGCACAAAAGAGTTTTGCTGCTGGTTAATGAGCAGAGAAAGACCCATTGAGTATAGTGGCTCAGGTCTGTAGTTCTAGCTCTCCAGAGATGGAGGCAGAGGGATCAGGAGTTCGAGGACAACCTGAGCCACATGAGACTCAGTTTCAAAAACAAAACAAAGCAAAAAACCGCTCCCCTAGTGTGCACAAAGCTCTGGGTCCTGTCTCTAGCTCTGTGGAAGCTGGGTTTTGTGTATAGGTCTGTAATCCCAGAAGTTCAAGGCCACCATAATTCATCTCCTTCTCAGGGTGAGATATGGACTATGGCCCAGTTCCCTAGCAGCCCTTCTCTGACTTTCCCGCCTCCCCTAACTGTCATCTTGAGTTAGTGACGTAACCCCTAGCCTTCTGATTGACTTTAACGTGTAGAATGTGGTGGCAATGGCTGCTTCATGAATTCCTCGTGGGGATCAGATGAGACAATCTCTGAAGAGCTTTGGCATGGTAACAGCTACCCTGTATGAAGCCATCACAATGTGCCACGCGTCTGGTAACGAGACACATCTCACAGATGAAGAGCTAAGGCTCAGAGAAGGGATGTCACCTTGCCCCATTAGCAAGCTGAATATTTCCAGTGCTAGAGTTGACTTAGGAGAGCCTTTGTGGGCAGAATCTAGACTTGCCGCTTGGACGGGTGCGGAAAGAACCGGCTCCTGGACATAAGCAACCTATCCACCTTCTCCCATCATTTCCGTTGTAACTCAGAGCAGCCAAGGCCAAGGCAGGGGTGAGCAAGCACGAAGGCTTAGGGACAGACGCGGGCCTGGCAAGAGTGTTCCAGAAGACTGGGGAAGGGGGCAGCAGGAGCTGTGGTCACCCTCGCTGCTGTCTGTCATCCACAGAGTTAGCCATGTCAGCTGTGGAGCCGGTTCCCAGGCCAGGCTCCTGCATCTGCCTGGTTAGACATTAATGCTTACTATCATTTATTAACAGAATTTTCATCACCCATGCATTTGGGTCTTGACCTAGGAAAATTTAGAGTTTCTTAAAGGTAAATGAGGAGAGCACATATTTTTCAAGTCAAGATTTCACAAGAGAATGCTTTTATGTAACCAACATTCCAGAGTATAGTTAAATGAGATCTGCTGGACTGTGTGAGTTCCTGGTGCTCCCTCCAGGTGGAGGTAAAAGAGAGAGGAGGGTTTGAGCCTTGGTCCACGACTGGTGGGAGGCACGCACCTGTAATCCCAGCACTGGAGAGAGAGACAGAGGATAATCGGGAGTTCAAGGTCATCCTCGGTGTCAGGGCGAGTTTGAGGCTAGCCTGAGTTACTTGAGACTCTGTCTAAAAACAGATCTGAGGAATCAATTCTCCCATCTGTAAAAATTTTGGTAGCAATACCAGGTAGATGGGTGTCTATCAGTATGTTGATTAAATGTGCCTGGGCATCACACTGCCCCTGTAGTCCCCCAGCTACTTGTAAGCTTAAGCTAGAGTATTACTCGGAATCTGAGTTTGGGGCTAGCCTGGACCACATGGCAAGACCTTGATTTCAGAACATAGTGGAGTAATTACAAATGTTCTTTCTCAGTGCATGACACAGAATAGGTGCCCAGAATTCTTGCAGTGCCTCTCCCCATCTCCATTTTACAAGGTCCCACACATGGCATCGCCTACAAAGACAGCCTCCGATCATAGTGTTATTTATTTCGTTGCAGACAGAGTCTCAATTTGAAGTGCTGGCTGGCCTGAACTCCCTGTGTAGAGCAAGATGGTCCCAAATTTTCGGTAATCCTCCTGGCTCTTCCTGAGTGCTAGGATTAGAAGCATGAGCTGCCATGTTATAGAGTGCTTCTGTAAGATTGCCACTGGGTATCTTTGATCTGAAAGGACTGCGTCATACATAGCTGGCAGAGCGGAGACCGTGGTCCAGAAGGTGGCTTCCAAGGGCACGGTTCCCCATCACACTCGGGATTTGCTGATTCACCCGTGATTCATCCCAGTGTGGGGATTCACCTGTGTGATTTGTGGTGCTTGGGGCCGTGATTATGCTTCCCCTATAGAAATTAAAAATCAAATGACTGTGCCCTGGGCCCGAGCTCTGTCCCCAGCTTTGCCGCGAGCACCACTTCCCCAGCCTCTCCTCTCTGCATCAGTCTCATTGGAGAGAACACGGTGTGAGAAGCTCCATCGACTCCCTGCCTCAGTTTTTATGAACACTGGGCCATATTTGCCACATGTATTTTTCATGTATTGTTTGTGATTGACATGTAATTTGCATAAAAAACACATGTCTCGGGTGTGAAGTCTGGAGCCCTGACAGTTGTCTGCAGTTTGAGCTGAATTCCTCCCCGCCCAGACATGTTTAATCTATCTATACCTACCCATCTCAGCATCCGTTGCCATAGGATGACATTTCCCCAGACCCACTGTGCCATTATCTCTTCTAACAGAATTAAAAATAATCCCTTAATAGCTTTAAAAATTCAGACTGTATGCAAATTCCCCAATTGTTCCAAAATGTGTTAAAGCCGGTGCGTTCCAAATTAGATCCAAATAATTGGCACACATCATACTTAGTGGCTAGGTCTCTTATGTTTCTTTAATATTTAGTGTTCTTCGCCATTTCTCCTTCCTTTGTTTTTGTATTTGCTTTTGTTTTCCCCATAATGGGGATAAGACTCGGGGCATTGGGGAGGTTAGGAAGTACCTGACCATGAGACGTATGCCAGCCTTCTTTTAAAGCTGATTCTGGGCCAGGGAAATGGGTTAGTGTGTAAAAGCACTTTCAGAAAAGCCTGAAGACCCAAGGTCAGATTCCTGGACATTTGCAGATGCCAGACTGTCCTCTGACCTCCACACAGGTGTGAACCTCTGCAAACAAAATAAAGAAGTATGTAGACAGTTTTCATTGGTTTGTCTGGGGGACAGAATCTTATGAGGGGGGCAGCCTTGGCTGGCCAAGAACTCAAGAGATTCATCTGCCTCTGCTTTGAGTACCAGGAAAAGTTATTGGTGTGGTTAGGGTGGGAACTGGGGAGATGGCTCAGTGGTTACAAGCATTGGTTGCTCAGCTAACCCTGGTACAATTCCCAGCATCCATAACTCCAAACCCAAGAGCTCTAATGCCCTATGGGTGCCGAACCATGCATGTGATGCAGGCATATATGTAAACAAACATTCATACACATAAAATAATTTAAAACATTTTGTGGGTGAGGCTGGAGAAATGGCTCAAGTGGTTAAGAGCATTTGATGCTCTTCCAGAGGATCTGAGTTCAGTTTCCAGCACTAGTCTTGTGGTTGATGCCTGTGACTCCAACTCCAGGGGATCCAGAGCTTCCAATGGGCACCTCCACTCACGTTCACATAGCCACCTGCACACACACAAGCCGAGCACATGATTAAAATAAGGGCTGCGCAGTGGTGGGGCACGCCTTTAATCCTGGCAGTCAAGAGTCAGTCAGAGACAGGCAGATCTCTTAATTTGAAGCCAGCCTGGACTACAGAGTGAGTTCCAGGACAGCCCAGGGCTATTATACAGAGAAACCATTGTCTCAAAAAAAATTTTAAATACATTTTATAAAAAATGATTTCAGTTCTGGAGAGATGGCTTAGCAGTTAAGAGCACTGGCTGTTTTCTCAGAGGTCCTGAGTTCAATTCCCAGCAACCACATGGTGGCTCACAACCATCTGTAATAGATATGGTGCCCTCTTCTGGCCTGCAGGCATACATGCAGGCAGGACACTGTATACATAATAAATAAATAAAATCTTTGGAGAAAAAAAGTGATTTCAGTCTTTGGAGAGATGGATGAGCGGCTAAAAGCACTTATTTCTCTAGTAGAAGACCTGAATTCTGTTCTCAGCACCACTTTGTAACCACCTGGAGTTTCAGGGGAACTTTTCTGCTTCCCACAAGCGTGTGTGTGATGGTGCACAGAATTACCTGAAGGCACACACACATAAGAAATAATAAATAAGTAATGATTTCTGGTTCTCTTGCTACATAGCCCTGTTGTGCCTGGAACTCACAGGGATCACCTGACTCTGCCTACCCAGTGCTAGACTTAAAGCCACCATGCCTGGCTTTCCCTTTTATATTGCTTCAACAAGAATCCAGTCTGAAACTTCAGGAAATGAGGTAGAATGTTGTAGTAACACTATTTCAAGGCTACATGCACAAAATGCCTGGTTTCCCCACCCAGAATTAGTTCTCATGACCCCAATGGTTTTTTTCAACATTTTTATTCTTTGAGAATTTGATATATGTACAATGTGTTTTTATTATATTCACCCCATAAGACTTTCCAGAGCCACTCCATCCGTCCCAACCTTCTTCCCTGTTCCCATATTTTAAAAAAGGTTTATTATCTTCCTTTTTTTCCCCTCTCTCTTTTTCTCTTTTTGAGGCAGGGTTTTTCTGTGTAGCTTTGAAGCCTGTCCTAGAACTCACTTTGTGCATCAGGCTGGCCTCGATCTCACAGAGATTAGCCTGCCTCTGTCTCCCAAGTGCTGGGATTAAATGCATGTGCCACCACCACCCAGAAAGATTAATTATTTTATCTGGGCATTGTAGCACACACCTTTAATCCTAGTACTTGGGGGGCAGAGGCAGGTGTGAGTTCAAAGCCAGCCTGGTCTACATAACAAGTTCCAGGTCAGCTAAGGCTACGTAGTGAAACCATGTTTAAAGAAAAAAGATTTCTTTATTTTTATTTCATGTTTGTTTGTCGCATGTATGGAGGCTGGTAGAGGGTCAGATCCCCTGGAACTGGAGTTATGGGTGTTTATGAGCCGCCGTGTGGGTGCTGGCAGCCACACCTGCGGGTGCTGGCAGCCACACCTGCGTCCTGCGGGAGAGCAGCAGGTGTTCTCACTGCTGAGCCATCTCTCCAGGCCTGTGTGTCCTCTTTTCTTGTTGCTTTTTTGTTTTGTTTTGTTTTGTTTTGTTTTTCGAGATAGGGTTTCTCTGTAGCTTTGAAATCTGTCCTAGAACTAGTTCTTGTAGACCAGGCTGACCTCAAAGACCTGTCTGCCTCTGCCTCTTGAGTGTTGGGGTTAAAGGTGTGCGCCACCACCACTCGGCTCTCTCTATTTATTCATTTATTTTTTTGATAGCCCACTGAATCTAATTTGTGTTGCGCATATATTCATGGGTGTGGCCCAGTCCACTGGAGCTTGGTCAGCCTACTAAGGGTGACACCCTTAAAGAAAATAGCCTCTTCCCCGCAGAGTCAGTAGCCCCTCCTTGCATGTTGAAATGTTCACTGGCTTCCTGAGCAGCTGGGGTCCTGTCAAGGCCAGGAGCTTCCCAGCCTCTGGCTGTTACCAATCTGCCACCATCTCTGTCTGGCCCCAGACACAGGGACCTCCTTAGTTAGCTAGGAACTGTGGGGGAGGTGTAGGAGGAGGTAATCTAGCTCCGAAACTTCCTGGCCTCACAGGTTGTGAGGGCAAAGGCATTGAGGCATAGGAAAGCTGAGCCCTAGCCAGGCACGCCCACCCACGCTACCCTCTCAGCAGCTATAGGATGTCAACCTGTGCTCTGTTCCTGTGCAGATGATAACAGCAACCAGAGCTCCATAGCAGACGCCTCTCCCATCAAACAAGAGACCAGCAGCAACTCCAGCCCTGCCCCAGAGCCCAGCGCACCTGTGCCCAGTGACGGCCCCGAAGCCAAGGCTGATGAGGCACAGGCAGATGGAAAAGAGCACCCTGGAGCTGAAGGTACTTGCCGTCCAGGGATGGGGCGCAGAGGGGCTGCTGCTCAGCAGCCTGCAGCCAGACAAGCCACGGGTATTTTAAGGAGTGCTTTGCAGTGTGCCAAGCCCAGACCATGACCATAGAAGAAAAGTAAGACCTGATTTAGAGCCATTAAAAAAGGAGAATTCAGCCAGGCAGTGGTGGCGCACGCCTTCAATCCCTGCACTCCAGAGGCAGAGAGCAGGCAGATCTCAGTGAGTTCAAGGCCAGCCTGGTCCACAGAGTGAGTTCCAGGACAGACACCAAAGCTACAGAGAGAAACCCTATGATCCTCTTAGGAGGTAGAGACAGGCAGATCTCTGTGAGTTCGGGGCCAGTCTGATCTACATAAAGAATGAGTTTGTGGGGCTACACAGAGAAACCCTATTTCAAAAAACAACAAAAATCAAAAAAGGAGAAATCAGACAATTGTTCTGGGTTCCATCCCCAACACCACATAAACTGAGCATGTAGTTCATGCCTGTGATCCTAGCGCTTGGTAGGTAGAGGCGAGAGGATCAGGAGTTTAGGGCCAGCTGGGTTGCAGATTATATATATATATATATCTATCTCACGGTGATCACGCCTTTAATCCCAGTGCTTAGGAGGCAAAGGCAGGCGGATCTCTGAGTTTGAGGCTAGCCTGGTCTACAGAGTTTCAGGACAGGCCTCCAAGCCACAGAGAAACCCTGTCTAAAAAAAAAAAAACATAAAAAGAAATGAGAACCAAGCGGTGGTGGCTCACGCCTTTAATCCAGCACTCGGGAAGCAGAGGCAGGTGGATCTCTGTGAGTTCAAGGCC